GCTTCTTTGCTGCTGTCTCATATTCATCAGCTATACAGTCTGTCTGTACGCTACACATACGAACTTGCTTGCATGCTATACCTTATGTGCGTATAACACATCATCACAGAAACACAAACCATTGGTTCTTGACTTACTATCCCCTTCCAATTTATCTTCGGAGCAAGATGCCTCAAAGAGTTGCTCATACTTGCTGTCTCCACTCCACCTTCTATTCCAAGACTCCTCCAATTAAGTTTCCATCTCTAGTGGTCCTGCGAAAATAAGACTTAACCACAGGGTTGGCAAGTCCCTTCCATTCCTAGTACTCATCTTACTTAACCTCTCGGGAGGATTTAACGCACCTTTGATCACTCCTTTACTCCCAGAAACATTTTTTCACTTGGCTTCCAGAAAAGAACTACTCTCCTGAGACAGAGTTGATAAAGCAGGGCCTCCTTTATGGCTGTTACTTCTGAATCTCTGCTCGTTCTTCCTCACCCACCAGACTTGTAAATATTAGGTCTGTCCCAGAACTCAGTGCTTAGACCTCTTCGTCTTCACTCATCATACTTCGAGGGTAATGTTATCCATGGCTCTAAACCATCTATAGGCTGATGACTTCTAAACACATATCTTCAACCTAGACCTCTTTCATGAACTCCTAGTGCAGATATCCAACTGCATACTTGACATTCGCCATTTAGTGAAAACCCAAACTCCTGATTTCCTCCCTAAACCATTACCCTCATAATCTCTCTCATCTTATAAATGGCAATTCTATTCTCTTAGTTATTCAGGTTTGTTTATTTGAGAGTGAGAGCACATGAGCAAGCAAGCGAGCGGGCAAGCAGGGTAGAGGGGCAGAGGGAAAAGGAGAGAGAATCTCAAGCAGGCTCCAAGCCCCACACGGAGCCCAAAGCAAGGCTTGATCCCACGACCCTGGGATCATGGCCTGAGCTGAAATCAAGAGTTGAATGTAAATTCAACCGACAGACAGCCAGGTGTCCCATTATTAAGGTTTAAAAAACAAACAAACAAACAAACATGAAGTCACGCTTAATTCCTTTTTCCCTCTCACACTTCTCAATTTCAAACCATCAGCAAAATCTATCAGCTGTACCTTCAAAATATTTTTAAAATTCTACCACTTCAAGGACTTACAGAAGATGAAGGAGGCAGTGGAAGCACAGTTTTGGGGTTTTTCGAGTCCCCATATAAACGGGGAGTAATGAGCCAGCAATATCAGAAAGCCATGGATAAAATTTACAACAAAACTAGGCAGGTGGGATACACAGTAACAGCTCAAGTGCAGACTTCTTCCAGCTGTAATGTACTCGAAGTAGAGCTGTATTAGAGTATTCCAGGGGCGCCTGGGTGGCTCAGTCAGTGGAGCATCCGACTTGAGCTCAGGTCATGATCTCATGGCTCCTGAGTTCAACCCTGCGTCGGGCTCTGTGCTGACAGCTCAGAGCCTGCAACCTGCTTTGGATTCAGTGTTTCCCTCTCTTTCCGCTCCTCCCTTTTGCTGTCTCTCTCTCAAAAATAAGCAAACATTAAAAAAAAAAAAGAATATTCTAACTGAAAGAGTAGAAAATGGGCTAGGATTCAGAAGAATGAGGTTCAAAGAGGAAAAACGGTCTAAAAACATAGGTGATTAACATTTTAACTTTCTCAGATCTCTTGATCACTAAATGTTATCAACTTATACTTCAAAAGATTTTTTTCCCCTCATGGGATTATATCATTAATTTGATAAAGAAAAGGAATAAAAAAAGAATTGAAGAAGTGATATTTCATTTTTAAATATTTTATTTGAGCCCCATCCCTCTTTTCTCCCCTACCCCTGTATAGTTTGGTTATTCACTACTACAAACAAATCCCCAAAGGAATCACTAGTCAATCAATTCCTCAAACAGCCAAATTCTAATCAGCTAGCACACCCCAGTTGTATTACTGCACAGGAAATGCTGGTCTAGAGAAGTGTGGAAGATAGCTGAGACAAATCCCCACATAAAAACAGAGGAACTGCATAGAAAGGACAAAATCCAAGGACAACATTTGCAACAGAACTGGGTGAAAGCTCAAAATACAAGCAAATGGGGACAAACACCCAACAGCCACAAGGCCTATAGGAGAGTGTCTGTGTGGGAGGAAAAGGAAAACAATGAGAGCGCATCTGACAAGCCCCAAAACAGCCAAGAGCTATTCACTGGGAGGCGTGGCGGCCAAATTAAGACCCACAGCCTAGACAGGGAAAGGTTTTGCTGTCTCCAATAATGAATGAATGCAAAGTATCCATGGTGAAGAATGAAAGAGCCCCATGCTGGGAAGAATCTGCAAGGAGAAAAATAATATGCTAGATTTCATAAATCAAAAATATGAAGTTTCTGTAATAAAAATAGAAAACTCAGTATCAGGACTTGATGGGAATATAATACTTGTTTAATGAATAAACAAACCCCTTTCATCTGTGATTACAGGTGCTTCTAAGGTCCTTCTGATACAATGCAGTAAAAACTTTTTTTTTTACTACGACCTACAGAGAGACAAATAGATTTACATGACACAGTATATACATACATACATGAATATATGATGAAAACAATTTCCTGAAATAAGGTTTGCTCTTACTACCGTGAAGCACCTTGATTTTTCTATTCTAGGTTTTTTTTGGCAGGAGGGTGTGGTTATGAGGAGACTGGGCTGAATTTACAGTATGAAAAACATTGCCAAGTAGCATACCAGTCAATGTGTAGTGGCATAACCCCCCACCCCCCTTTTTAAATGTTTTTATTTTTAAGAGAGAGAGAAATAGAGAGAGACAGGGCATGAGCAGGGGAGGGGCAGAGAGAGGGAGACACAGAATCCCAAGCAGGCTCCAGGCTCTGAGCTGTCAGCACAATGGCCTGAGGCAGGGCTCCAACGCATGGACCGCAAGATCATGACCTGAGCCAAAGTCAGGGAGGTTAACCGACTGAGCCCTCCGGGTGCCCCTGTAGTGGTCTATTTTCAAATCCGGACTCTGCTGTGTCTGATTTACCTGTGGGCAAATAACTTACCCTCTTTGTGCTTCAGACTCCTCATTTATAAAATAGTAACGGTATTTATAACTGCAGGTTTTTAGAAGGTTAGAAACTTCTTACAATGCTGGGGCGCCTGGGTGGCTTAGTCGGTTAAGCGTCTGACCTTCGCTTAGGTCATGATCTCGCGGTTCGTGGGTTCGAGCCCCGTGTTGGGCTCTGTGCTGACTGCCAGCTCAGAGCCTGGAGCCTGTTTCAGAGTCTGTGACTCCCTCTCTCTCTGACCCTCCCCTGCTCACGCTGTCTCTCTCTCTCTCCTAGAAATAAATAAAAATATTAAAAAAAAAAAAAAAAAAAAAAAGAAAGTCCTTACAATGCTGTCTGGGACACAGTAGGAACTCAGTATTTTTGAGTGCCACTATTGTTTTTGGTGCTGTTGTTATTTGAGCCAAAGTCTAAGAATTTGTGTCTTACCTATTAAGAGAAAATTTTTAAGTGAGCTACAAATGATATAATAAAGTACTCTGAAAACAGATTAAGAAGGGATATGTTGAATTTCATGTTCATAAAAGATTCTCTTAATAACCAAAACTAGGCATTTTTTTGGCCATAGCTTTGAGCACTGCTTACCTATGATGTCATTTCTCATTGCTTCTGTAATCGGTATTGGTTTAGCAGCATCTGGAGATATATATTTGGTAAAAGTATTCACTGCATCTTGTTCTATACCTGCAAGGGAAGAAGGTGACAACTTCAAAACTCAAAGCGCAACCTGGACCAGGAATGGACTATAATCTTGAACAGCAGGGCTGTCTGCTGTATGCCCAAGCGTGTGCGTGCACACATACAAATACATCCATGTTTATCACAAATATAAATACATATAAAAATAGGTATGGGACAAAACAATGTTGCTTCTTCACTGGTCTGTGGAACAGAGAAGTTAATTCAGAAGACGTGAGTCCCGCCCCCTACTCCTCATCTAAACTAACCGAATGCTCCTTAATAGCAATTATTTATGCATGGTCTCTTTCCACGTCTCTTCTCCAAAATCTCAAGTCGAGGGACTTGCACAGCAATGTTAACAGCAAGAGCTCCAACATTATTTATAAATCCACACTTAAAATATTTTACAAAATGGGGCGTGTGGGTGGCTCAGTCAGTTGGGCGTCAATGACTTCAGCTTAGGTCATGATCTCGTAGTTCGTGAGGTCCAGCTCCGTGCTGACGGCTCAGAGCCTGGAGCCTGCTTTGGATTCTGTGTCTCCCTCTCTCTGCCCCTCCCCTGCTTGCACTCTGTGTCTCTCTCTCAAAAATAAATAAACATTAAAAAATATATATTTTAGAAAATGATTTCAAGTTTATGAATACATTCCTTCGACTTTCAACAACCCTAGAAGGTTAAAACAATAGATATCAAACGTTTTAGTCTCAGGACTTCTTTGTAACCTTAAGTTAAACTGAAGAACCTAAAGAACTTTTGTTAATGTGAGTTTTATCTATAGGTATTAAGGTATTAGAAATACAAATAAGAAAAAAAATTATTAAGTTAAAATTAACAATATTAAATCTGTTATAAGGTAACATACACAATATTTTTATGGGGAAAAAAAACAAACAAACCCTGATTTTCCAAACTGAAAAAATTAGTGAGAAGAGGGCACTATTTTATATTTCTGTCCTGATAGCAAACTGCTGGATTTTCGTTATCTGCTTTGGCACTCAATCTGCTGTCTATTCTGTGTCGGCTCAAGTATATTCTGATGCGGTGGTACCACCACACACTCTTCATTCTGATTCCTGGCACAGAGCTTCTAAAACCAACCTCTGCGATTTCCTGAGCAGCAGGGGTGAGAGGAACGTAGTCTGCTATTCATAATAAGCCCCTTTCCACTATAGGAAAGTTTATGGTAATGAGGTAACTTGCAGAATGGGGCTGGTTGCCAGACGAACACACTGTGTGGTCACAGAACTGGAATTTTCAGCCCCACTCCCCAACCTCCAGGGAGGGTAGAGGGGCTGGGGGTCATCATGTTAATCTCCAACGGTCAATATTTAATCAATCGTGCCCACATTGTAGAACCACGAAAACCCTAGATGAAGTGATTCAGAGCTTTCAAGTTGGTGAATGCATCCATGTGCTGGGAGGGTGGCACACCCCAACCCCTCAGAGACATAGGCTGTCAGCCTGTCATGGGACTCAAACTCACAAACTGTGAGATCATGACCTGAGCCGAAACCAAAGGTCAGACACTTACCCAACTGAGCCACTCGGATGCCCCATGATATACTTTAAAATAAAACAGTAAATGTAAGCAAAATGTTCTGTCAGCTATTATAACAGATTACTGAACACAAGGAGAAGTTGTGGAAATCGCAGATTTGCAGCTGTTGGCCAGAAGTACAGATGACAACTGTACTTGTCACTTGCAACTGGCATCTGAAGCGGGCAGCACTCCTGTGGAACTGCGCCCTTAACCTGTGAGGTCTGTGCTAACTCCACGTAGTTATGGCCAGAATGAATCAGACGGCAGGACTCCCAGTTGCTGCCCGCAGAGAACTGGAGAAGTGCTTGATGTGCAAAGTCCACACGTTTGGTGTCACAAGTGTGAGCAGAGGAAGGGTTTTCTTTCACCTATACTAAGCAAATCTCACCTCAGATAGGCACAGATGGGAAAAGGAGTATCTTAATAGCTGTTTGAGATCGCTGTGGATAAATTCTTGATACGACACCAAAATGTGACAAGTGGTAGTTTCCTAAAGGTAAGTTAGAATGGTAGAAGTGCAAACCCTATCAGCGAACTTGTCTGTTATACTAAAATCCAATGGTGTATCTCCCTTTAGTATATCTTTAAGTCATGATTTTATTACATCATAGATATTTTTTAAAAATTTTAAATGCTTATAATTTTTGAGAGTGTGTGAGAGAGCGGGGAAGGCTAGAGAGAGAGGGAGAGAGAATCCCAAGCAGGCTCACGGGTGGGGCTCAATCTCACAAGCTGTGAGATCATGATCTGAGGCTAAATTAAGATGGAGTTGGACACAGCCGACTGAGCCACCAGGTGCCCCAACATCATATATTTTTTTGAGTATTTTGGAAAATATTGGTTCACTGACTTATGTAGATCTTCCGAATGTTGATACCCTGCATCATCTAGTGTAAAAAGTAAAAAAAAAAAAAATCTCGGGGCGCCTGGGTGGCTCAGTCAGTTAAGCATCCGACGTCGGCTCAGGTCACGATCTTGCTGTTCGTGGGTTTGAGCCCCACATCGGGTTCTGTGCTGGCACAGATAAAAAACAGAGCCTGGAGCCTGTTTCAGATTTTGTGTTTCCCTATCTGCCCCTCCTCCGCTCATGCTCTGTCTGTCTCTGTCTCAAAAATTAAAAAATAAACTATTAAAAAAATTAAAGAAAAAAAAAGAAATCACATCATTAATATCACCAAACATCAGAACACTCTTTAAAGCTGTCAAAGCATAGCGTAGTTTTCCAAAATTCTAATTTTCACTTGAAAAGCTTAAGCTTTACCATAGGCAACAAATACGGTCAGCTGTTTTCCGTGAAATGTCAAGCTCGATTCATTCATTTCCAAGAAAATATCTGGCAAATACTCAAGTCTGTAACCACAGTCATTCTTTGGAGTAAAAATGGTATCCCATTAAAAAAAAGCAGCTAATTGAGCTCACAGAAACAAAACCGCACACCCATGCTGTGATGAGCACTGGTTGTCGCACAGAAGTGCTGAACCGCACTCCTGAAACTAGTATTACACTGTAAGTTAACAACTGGACTTTGAATAAAAACTTGAAAATAAAATAAAAACATTTATATCTTAAAAAAATACATATTCCCCAGAGTTTAGATTTAATAAAGTTAATTACCTACTTCCCCAAAGACATCTTTAAGTAAAACTGACAGTTTTACTGGGAGTACATGGCAGCACAAAATGAGTATTAGTACAATTTGACCCAAGGGCAGCGGGTTTTTCCACAACTGCCTTTGCACCGTCACTACAAATGTCAACATAGTGAAAAAGACAACATCTCAGAATTATTATGCAAACAGTTGGGACTACATGTACCCTGTTGAAAAAATTCTCAGGGACTCTCTATGGGTATGCAAACCATACTTTGAGAATAGATTTTTTTTAGGATAGATTATTATCCCTATTTTTACAGAAAAAAACCTTTATGTACAAAAATTTTAAATGGCTTGAGTTAAGAAAGTGCTGGGGTGAGGGTCAGGCCAGGGAGAAGCAAAAAACATAGTTTTTGTATGTGACTAAAGTTGTTATCAGCCTAAAATAGATTTTGATAAGATCTTAAGTCCTGTGGTGACCACAATAAAAACATCTACAGAAGATATGCAAAAGAATGAGAAAGAAATCTTAAGTGTATCACTACATAAGAACAAGGAAACACAAAGGAAGACAACAAGAGAAGAAAAGAGGGAAAAAGACTTAAAAGCCATTCACAAAAACAATGACAAGATGGCAACAGTAAATTCTACCCTATCAATAATTACTTTAAATGTAAATGGATTAAACTCTCCAAAAGACATAGGCTGAATGTATTTTTATTTAAATAATCAAGATCCCATTACATGCTGTCTACAAGAGACTCATTTTTTTAATGTTTATTTTTGAGAGAGAGAGAGAGAGAGAGCGTGCGCGCATGAGCAGAGACAGAGTCCGAAACAGGCTCCAGGCTTTGAGCTGTCAGCAGAGCCCAACAAGAGGCTCGAACTCACAGTTCGTGAGCTCATGACCTGGGCCATAGTCAGACACTTAACCAACTGAGCCACCCAGGCACCCCAAGAGACTCACTTGAGATTTAAGGACACACATAGGCTCAAAGTGAAGGGATGTTAAAGATATTCCATGCAAATAGTAACCAAAAAATTGCAGGGGAAAGGGGACTAACCTTTATCAGACAAAAAAAACCTTTATGTCAACAACTGTCACAAGAAACAATGATAAAAGGGTGAATCCACCTAGAAGACTTAACAATTATAAATACATATGTACCTAACATCAGAGCATCTAAATATTAAATCAACCACTGACAAAAGTGAAGGAAGAAATAAGCACCAATACAATAATAGAAGACATCAATACCCCATTTTCAATAATGGATACAGAATATCCAGACAGAGAATCAGGAAGGAAACAGAGGACTCAAACACCACCACAGACCAAAAGGACCTAAGAGACATATACAGAAGATTCCACCTTACAGCAGCAGAAGGGATATACATTCTTCTTAACACATTCAGATCACTCTCTACAACAGATCGCATGTTAAGTCAAAAACAGGTTTTAAATTTAAGACAGAAATTATAACAAGTATCTTTGCCAACAGCAATGGAATAAACCCAGAAATCAAAAGCAAAGAGAAAACTGGAGAATTCAAAAATATGTGAAAATTAAACAATATACTCTTGAACAATGAATAAGTTAAAAAAATACATCAGGAAATTTAAAAAATATCTGGACACTGGGGTACCTGGCTGACTTAGTCAGTAGAACATGCAACTCTTGATCTTGGGATGGTGAGTTCAAGCCTCACACTAGGCATGTAGCCTACTTTAAAAAAAAATCTTGGGACAAATGAAAACACAACATACCAAAATGAGAAGCAGTAAAACCAGTATCAAGAGGGACATTTACAGCTATAAATGCTGACATTAACAAAGTAGAAAGATCTCAAAGAACCTATCTTTAGAAAAGAAACTAGAAATAACAAAGTAAGCCCAAAGTTAGAAGGAAGGAGGGAATAACAGAGCAAAAATAAAATACAGAATAAACAATAGAAAAATCAATGAAAGAGTTGGTTTTTTAAAATGATCAACAAAATTGACCAACTTTTAGCAGGCTAAAATAAAAAGATGACTCAAATAAAATAAAAAAGGAGGTATTACAATTAATGCCACAGAGATAAAAGTTATCATAAGACATTATGAACAATATATCAACAAACTAGATATATGCCAATAATCAAGAAGAAAAAGGTAAACTTTTAGAAACATACAACCTACTAACACTGAATCACCAAAAAACAGAAAGTGAACACATCTATCATTTGTAAGGAGACTGAATCAGTAACCAAAACCCTCCCAACAAAGAAAACCCCAGGAGAACATAGCTTCACTGGTGAATTCTACCAAACATTTAAGGAAGAACTAACACTAATCCTTTTCAAACTCTTTCCGAAAACATAAAGAAGGAACACTTCCAAACTCATTTTATGAGGCCAGCAGTACCCTAATACCAAAACCAAAGGCACCATAAGAAAACAACAGAAGAATATCCCTGATGAACATAAATGCAAAAACCCTCAACAAAATACTACCGAACAGAATTCAACAGTATGTTGAAAGCACCCCACGCAATGACCAATGATAAATCAATGATAGAGACACACCACTTCAACAAACTGAAGGATAAACGTCATACAATCTACTCAATAGATGCACAAGAAGCATCTGACAAAATTCAACACTTTTAACGATCTAAAAGTTCCAACACACTAGGAACAAAAGGAAATGACCTCAACATAATAAAGGCCTCACATGAAAAATAAACAGCTAATATCATATTCAATTGTGGAAACCTGAACTCTTTTCCTCTAATATCAGGAACAAAGCAAGGATGCCCACTTTTAACACCTCTATTCAACACAGTATTGGACATCTAGCCAAGGCTATTGGGATAGGAAAAAAAAAGGGGGGGGGGCCCTCCAAATTGGAATGATAAAGTTAAATACCTCTATTTGCAGATGACTAAATCTGCGCCTGGATGGCTCAATGGGTTAAGCATTTCACTCTTGATTTTGGCTCAGGTCATGATCTCACAGTTCATGAGTCCAAGCTCTGCATTGGGCTCTGCACTGATAATGCAGAGCCTATTTGGGATCCCCTATCTCCCTCTCTCTCTGCCCCTTCCTCTGCTTGTGCTCTTTCTCTCTCTCTCAAAATAAACTTAAAAAAAAAAAAAAGACACAAAAGTTAGCAAAAAAAAAGAAAAAAAAAGAAAAAGGAAAATCCTCAAGACTCCACACACAAAAAACTGATAGATTAATTCAGAGTTATAGGATACAAAAACCAACATGCAAAAATTAGTTGCATTTCAGGGCGCCTGGGTGGCTCAGTTGGTTAAACGGCCAACTTCGGCTTAGATCACGATCTTATGGTTTATGGGTTGCAGCCCTGCATCAGGCTCTGTGTCTGTGTCTGTGTGCTGACAGCTCAGGGCCTGGAGCCTGCATCAGATTCTGTGTCTCCCTCTTTCTCTCTGATCCTCTCCTGCTTGTATGCGCATGCTCTCTCTCTCTCTCTCTCTCTCAAAATTAAATAAAAAACATTTTAAAAAATAAAAAAAAATTAGTTGTATTTCTATATGCTAACAAACTATCCTATCCAAAAAGGAAATTAAGCAAACAATCCCACTTGAATTGCATCACAAAAAATAAAATACTTAGGAATAAATTTAACTAAGGAAGTGAAAGATCTGTACACTTAGAACTGTAACCCACTGCTGAAAGAACTTAAAGAGGACACAAATAAATGGAAAACCAGTTTGCGTTCATGCAATGAAAGCCTTAATATTGTTAAGATGTCATTACCCAAAAGTGATCAACAGACTTAAATCCTATCAACACCTCAATGATATATTTTTTTCAGAAATAGAAAAAAGAATCCTTAAATTCATAAGGAACCACAAAGGACCCGGATAACTAAAACAAACTTGAGAAAAAAGAACAAAGCCAAAAGTATCACACTTCTTGATTTCAAAATATATTATAAAGCTACAGTAACGAAAACAATATGGTACTGGCATAAAGACATACAGATCAACAGAACAGAATCATAATGAGATACCATCTCATACGTTAACGTTAGGACGACCATAATCAAAACAAAACAAAACAAAACAAAACAAAACAACAAAGAACACATTAACAAGTGTTGGTGAGATGTGGAGGAATTGGAGAATTGGAGTCCACATGCACCGTTGGTGGGACTGTAAAATGGCATAATTCCTATGGAAAACAGTATGGAACATCCTCAAAAAATTGAAAATTAAAAATAGAACTCTTATATGATCCAGCAATGCCACTTCTGGGTGTATATAAAAAAAATTGAAATCAGGATCTTGAAGAGATATTTGTACTCCTAATTCACTGCAGTATGACTCACAAATGCCAAGATACAGAAACAACCAAAGATCCAAAAATGGATAAATGTATAAATAAAATGTGGTATATACATATAATGTTATATTGTTCAGACATTAAAAAAGGAAATCCTAACATATGTAACAACATAAATGAAACTTTAAGACATAATGGTAAATAAAATAAGCCAGTCACAGAATGACAAATATTGCAAGATTCCAATTCTATGTGGTATCTAATATAGTCAAACTCAGAGAAGCAGAAAATAGAAGTGTAGCTCTTAGGAGTTGGAAGGAGGGAGAAAGAGTTGCTGGTAACAGGTATCAAGTTTCAGTTACCCAAGGTGAGTAACTTCCAGAGATCTGCGATACACCACTGTATGTGTCGTTAACAATACTGTACTGTACACTTAAAAATGTGTTAAGAGGGTAGAGTTCATGTATCTTTTCTTACCACAACAGAAAAAGAAAAAAGAATTCATGGAAAAAAGAGAAAGTCCCACAGTTGGGACAAAAGTTCAGGGATGACTCACGATCAGTGCTGTGTCTCATACAGAGAGCTATAAAAAGGTATGTTTTGGGGAAGAGAAGTGCTTGTTTTTTTTTCCCCCTCTACATTAACTGATTAATCAATCATCTCTACGACCAGGGCCTTGAAGAAAGGTATCAATTGTGAAGATGTGGGGGGACTGTTTTGCCTTTGACCAGATATAGTAACAATAATCATCATCATCATCCAAGCTACTTCCACTCTCTCAACGAACATTTACTGTATTGTCACTATGAGCAAATTGTTAGTCAGAACAAAGACACTAGTTTTGAAGCAAATGTCTGTCAAAAAGCCTAAAAATCAGAACCTGGGTGGTTTCTCAGTTCTTGCTTTTCCACAGCTAAAAATTATAGCTGCCAATCCCAGACAAATGCTGTATGTTGTATAGACACTGATGCACATTTATTTGGGGGGGGGGGGGATTAAAACTAACTGAAAGAAGTTTTGATGTCTTTAAATAAAATGTTAACTATATTTCATTTCAGAAACACGGAATGAAGTTACACCCTTCTTTTGGATCAGGAAAAACTCAGTTTTAAGTATAAAAGGACATTAACATATTTTAAACAGTTTAATAAATTAATAAATGAAACCGTTTTAACTCAATAAATACTTGGCTAAGCAAAGATAAATGCTTTGGTTCAATACCTAAAACAGTCTTTTTTTTTTTTTAATTTTTTTTTTTAATGTTTTTATTTATTTCTAGGAGAGAGAGAGAGACAGCTTGAGCAGGGGAGGGTCAGAGAGAGAGGGAGTCACAGACTGAAACAGGCTCCAGGCTCTGAGCTGGCAGTCAGCACAGAGCCCGACGCGGGGCTCGAACCCACGAACCGCGAGATCATGACCTAAGCGAAAGTCGGACGCTTAACCGACTAAGCCACCCAGGCGCCCCTAAAACAGTCTTTTAAGAAAAGAACAAAGAACACAGAAATGCTTAAAACATCTGCTTTTTAAAAAACATACCTTTTAGAAACCCATGAGGACAGATTACTGGAAATACAGAACTTTCCTCCAATTATCTGAGTGATGTTCAAAACTCCATTACCCACTTTAGTATTTCACTAAGAAGTTTTAAATATTTAAAAGATGCTTATTTATTTTGAGAGCGAGTGAGTGAGCATGAGGACAGGAGGGCGGGGGGTGGGTGTAGAGAGAATCTCAAGCAGGCTCGCTGTCAGCACAGAGCCCAACTTGGGGCTCGAACCCACAAACTGTGAGATCAATGACTGGAGCACATATCAAGAGTCAAACGCTTAACCAACTGAGTCACCCAGGCACCCAACTTAGTATCTACTTCAATGGAAGTACAAAACACCAGTAGATTCTAAAGAAGTTACTCAGAAGAAATTAGATAGCAATTCTGAGTTCTTAATATCATCAATCTTTAGTAACAAAAGCAGTAGGCCATTATGAATTCCTTTATGGCCACCTTCTGAGGCTCGAGAAGTTTTAATACAATGAAAATGATTACAACAGGAACCTTAGAGGCAGGTGTTAGATCACCATCTTCCTAATATCTTTGCTTCTTAAAGGGAAAACAGAAAATCCATAGAGGAAACTCATTCTTTAATTTGCTTTGAAATATCCTAAGGATTGGGTCAAGATGAAATAAATACAGCCCACCCACCCCACAGAATGCAACTAAAACACTAGACAAATGTACCTGAGGACTGGGAAACGGTAGCAGGCAGGCAGACTGAGAAGGGAAACCAGAACTCAAAGTGCCACCATAGCAGAGCCGTTTCCCACTGTTTCCCCAGTACCTCCCGGGCTGGACTCAAAAGCTGAACCTGCACATGGACGCACAAAGAAAAAGCTCCAGAGAAGCCCTCTATTTCTGGTCTGAGGAGCAGGACGGCGGTTCATACGGATAGCGAGAGTGAGGGAAGTCTCCTGGGCTTTCTTTCACTCCAGTCTTGGTGCCCAGGCAATGGCAGCAGCACCCAGGCAGGCTCCAAAAGCTCTTTGACAGAGAAACTGTCCCAGTAAGAAGAGGAGAATCCCTCTTTCTTTTACCCACTGTCCTCTGGCTGCTTGGCCACAGAGGCTGACACAGTTGTGGAAAGTAAAGCCCCAACTTTCTAGCCAAACAACCAGGAAGGTAGGGTCCCCTAGGCACCAGAAGCTGTTAGAGAAACGGCAGAAAAGAAGAAGGCTCATGAAGAGCACGTTAAGTTGTGTGTGTAATCCTGGGCTCATACGTGAACGGGGCATGTGTGGACTTGACTGTAACAGCATACCAATGGGTCTGAGAACTAAACTATGACCTTTCCACTGGTCAGTTCCCAGACTGGAAACTAGCAGGCATATATACAAACAAAATCCAAAACTAAATGGATTCTGGAACCACAGGCTACAGAATGCTAATTGGAACTTGGCTAAACCTAACCAGGTGACTTTCTTGCTAAAGGAAAAATTCAACATTCTTTACAGGATCCAAACATGACCCAGTATTATGTAAGCCAAACTGTCCATAACACAATCCAAAATTAACTGCCATATAAAAACCCAGAAAAATCCCATTATCTCACAAGGGAAAAGACAAGTAAGATGATACAGATATACAGATGGTGGAATTATAGAACAAAGATTTCTTTTTAATAACCATGTTCCAAGAAGTAAGGTCAAATACTCTTGAAACAAATGGAAAGACAAACTTAGTAGAGAAACAAAAGAGAGGAGGGGGAGGGGGAAGGGGGAGGAGAAACAAATGGAGGCTTTAGAACACGAACACACACACACACACACACACACACACACACACACAGAACCCAAGGTTAAAATTCACTGGACTCACAGCATGATAGAAATGACAGAGTAAAGAATCAGTGAATTCAGATATATGAATAGAAAATTTCCAAACTGTATAACAGGAAAAAAAATTAGACCAAAGTACATTAGAGCCTCAAGGATCTGCAGGGCAATGACAAAGATGCATCTGGGGCATTAAAATCTCAGAAGAAAGGGAAAGAAGTACAAAAAAGCCAAAAAAAAAAAAAAAAAAAAAGTGAAAGAACAATGGCTGAAAACTTCCTCCCAAAATGGCCAAAAACCAAATTTTGAAAATCAAAAAGCTCAGTGAACCTCACACAGGAACAAACACTATAGCCAAACTGCTGGACATTAAAGACAGGGAAAGAATCTCAAAAGCAGCTATAAAAAAGATGCTAAATATAAGGTAATAATGATTCCAAGACTGCAGATTTCTCCTAGAAATCATGGAGGCCAGAGGCAGCAAAACAGAACTTTTAAAATGTAAGAGAAAAGAACAATTAACCTCGAATTCTCTATCAAACGAAAAATGCTTCAAAATAAAGACTTAGATGGAAAATTATTGAGAAGATTAAAGTTCTCTGATAGCAGTCCTGCTCTAGAAGAAATGCTAGAGGGATCTTTGAGATGCTGGTGACATAACAGAAATAACTGAACTTTAGGAAGGAAGGAACACCAACAGATATGGCAAATATTGGGCTAACATGTAATAGACAATTCTTCTTTTAAGTTCTTTAAGTGTGTCCAACAGTTGAAAGCCAAATACCTAACATTGTCTGATGGGATTTTCAACAAAAGTAGATGACCACTACACCACATGAGTGGGGAGATAAGGGGGCCTACACGGTCCCCCTATCACTTGATGTGATAAAATGCTAATTTTAAGTAGACTGTGGATGTATGATGGTATGTATACTATAATCCCTAGAGAAACCACCAAAAACCTATACAAAGAGATATAATCAAGAACTAAATAGATAAATTCTTTAAAAAAAATCAAACAATCCAAAAGAAAGAGAATAGGAAATCCAAGGATGGGAAACAGAGGGAACAAACAAAAAAATAAAATGGGAGACAAATTCAAACACATGAATAATTACACTTAAGGTAATTACATATAAATTAAGCTAATAAGTATTGGTAATTTACATATTAGAATGTAAATAATCATGGAGTAATTAACTACACTTAATATAAAGAACAGTGTACACTACAACTTATGCTGAAATAAATTTATCAACAAAAAACAGTTTATCAGAATGGATTAAAAAAAAAATGACCCAACCACATGCTATCAAAAGAAACTCACTTTAGAAATGATAAAGGCAAGTCAAAAGTAAAGGGATAGAAAAAGATATACCATGAACTGCAGTGGCTATATAAGTCAGACAGAGAATAATTCTGACCTGAAAACAAGTGAAGTTACCACAGATAAAGAGAAGATATATAATAATATCGATTCACCATGAAGATACAATGATCCTAAATAGGTACAAACCTAACAACAGAGCCTCAAAACACATGCAAAAACCGACAGAACTCAAAGCACAATTGGAAAAATCCACAACTACGGTTGGAGACTTCAACACTCCTCTCTCGGTAATAGATATAAAAAGCATAAAAGTACTGGCAAGGACACAGAAAATCTGAACACCATCATCAACCAGCTCCATCTAACTGACATCTATAGAAAACTAGCAAACAGCAGTATATTCTTTTCATGGTATGTGAAATGTTCACCAAGATAAACAATATCCTAGGCTATTTAAAATTTTTAACAAATTTAGGGGCACCTGGGTGGCTCAGGTCATGATCTCACGGCTTGTGAATTCAAGCCTCCTGTGTTGGGCTCTGTGCTGATAGCTCAGGGTCTGAAGCCTGCTTCAGATTCTCTATCTCTCTTTCTCTGCCCCTCCCCTGCTCACACGCTCTCTCCCTGTCTCACAAGATAAATAAACATTAAAAAAGTAAAAAAAGTTTTTAACAAATTTAAAAGAATTGAAATCAAAGTATGTTTTCTAACCATAATATAATTAACTGGGAAATCGATAACAAAAAGATAACAGAAAAAATTCAAACACCTGAAAATCAAAACATATTTCTAAATAACCGTGAGCAAAACATTAAGACTCCAGGGAAAGTAGACGTTTCATTTTTGCTTAATTCAAAGTCTCAGAATTTGTCGGATGTAGCTAAAACAGTGATTAGAAGGAAATTTATAGCATTACGTGCTTATCTTAAAAAAGAAAGGTCTTGGGGTGCCTGGGTGGCTCAGTTCGTTAAGTGTCTGACTCTTGATTTCCACCGAGGTCATGATCCTAGGGTTGTGGGATCAAGCCCCGCGTAGGGCTCTGTACTGACAATGCAGAGCCTCTTTTGGATTCTCTCTCCTTCTCCCTCTCTCTCTGCCCCCTACTGCTTGCATACCCACACATGTGAGCAAGCTCTCACTTTCTCAGAATAAATAAATAAACATAAAAAAAAAAAAAACAAAACTCTTTTGGGCATCTGGCTGGCTCAGTCTGTAGAGTATGCAACTGCTAATATCAGGGTTATAAGTTTGAGCCCACATTGGGTGTAGAGATTACTTAAAAAAAAAAAAAAAAAAAACCTTTCAAAAAAAAAAGGTCTCAAACAATTTAAGTTTCTATCTTAAGAAACAAGAAAAAAAGTAAAATCTAAAGCAAGCAGGAGGAAAGAAATAACACATAGCAGAAAATCCATAAAACTGAAAAGAGAAAAACAGATAAAAATCAATTAAACCAAAAGCTGGTTCTTTTAAAAAGACAGATTAAACCCCTAGATACACTGGCAAAGAAAAA